ATGTATATATATATATACAGGGTGTCCCATTTTAAATGATGATTTCAAATTTCTCTTGAACAGTGCATTTTAGAGAAAAATGTTCAGTCAAAAGTTTAATAACTTCGAGGGAGACATAAGATGATATCATTATTTTTATCTTGGGCGTTGTTAAAGTCAAGATAAAATTATTTTTAATTTTTTGAAATGAAATTCTTCATTTTTCATTACATTTTCTTGTAACTTACTGAGAGCTTTTCAAGACACTATAATTAAGTTCATTTTCATTAAGTACTTCTCGAATTATAAAGCTTGGCAGTTAGTGGATATAATTAGTGACATGATCCAATTTGTGTTGACTAAAGATATGAAATTTTAAATATTAAGCTTTTAATGGTATATACAACTCTAAATAAATTTGTTGTTTATAAAAATTTAATAACGAATTTATTTAGAATCGTACATATCATTAAAAGCTTTATATTTGAAATGTTTTATTACTTTGTCTAACAATAATAGATTCATGATCCATTAACTGCAGGTATTTTTATTTTATATTCACTTGATTTTTAGTATATAATAAAATGAAATTAAAAAGAAACGAAACTTCAGACTTCCTTCTCTTTAGGTATTGATGCGAATCCTTCCTTTCCTTCTTTTCCCGTTTGCATTAAGAGAACGATCTAGTTCTCCATTCCGGATGGTGACATAATGCTCTCATTATCCGGCTCGATCTTTTTGCCGCATGGTTTTCCGCGGTAAGATTTCGCGGCGACTTTTTGTCGGCCTCAGATGAAAATAGCCGCATGTACGATGCATCAATGCGCGTTACATTGATGCACCCGCTTGCGAAATCCGCTTTTGCTAGAATCACGCGGTTTCTACCGCAATGCAACACGTGGCTGCCGAGAGAGCTTAAGTCTTCCCTTCTCTCTTTTTCGCTCTCTTGAAGTCCTTAACTTTGCTTCCACGCCGCTATCTTGACTTTAATTGCTAGCTGACGTCAAACGCAAAATCTCTCATAATCCATGGTTCGCATCGATAGCCACTATTAGAGTAATATGAGAGTAACATCAAAGTAGCAAAAGCTAATATTTTAGTAGCATCAAAAATACTAATTTGCAAATACAAGGGGCAAGTTAATGTATAATATTCATATAATATGATATTCATATAATAAATAAGATTTATATTGATATATAAAATAAAAATTATATATTTATATATATAATTTTAAAAAGTCACAGAAATATTATTAGCTACTAAGACTCAGCTCTGACCGTTTTCTAGGCTGTTTTTATTTATCGTTATTAAAACATTTTTATTATTTTATTTAAAAAAAAAATTTAAAAGTAATTGTTAGTGAAGTCTCTAAATAAGGAAATAAAAAAATATTATATCGTAAATTTAGGGTGACCTATTTAACAAATACTTCGTTGCCCAATCAGAAGAAAGAATTTTTTGAATTGACTAATCAAAGAATGCTTTAAAGCATTGATATGAAAGCTCGATTTGGACGCTCACACGCTTTAAGCGCTTCTAATCATCATTCTGTGTTTATCGTTCATTAGACGTAAAATAAAAATAGAAGTATTGAAAACGTTGAAAGTGTTCAAATCGACCGCAGCCGAAGTAAAAACGTTTGAAATAAAATAGTGAATTGTAAATCTTGATTTTTAAATGGTTTTGTGTCGACTTTAGTCCCTATTATTGTTTATAATACTTTCCTTAATTTTTATTATTTTATAATGTAATCTAGATGTTAGATTTCTCATGAAAAAAGGAATATACTAATTTTAATTTTAATTGATTTTAGTTTTATTGTTGATTTCTTTATTTGTTCTATTAGGTGTACAACTTTGCTTCCGCCGTTGTTTTTCCGAAATTCGAGGCTTTATTGTAAAAAATTGGTTATACATTTATGATTCAAAGTATTGTCCATCGCTGGCCACTACTTTCTCCCATCTTTCGAGTAGCGTACGAATCCCGTGTCGAAAAAACTGGTCATCTTTTGAGGCTATCCATGAATCGATCCAATTTTTTACTTCTTCATAAGACCGGAAGTGCTGGTCAGGCCGTGTGCCATTGATCGAAACAAGTGATAGTCAGAAGGAGCAACGTCTGGAGAATACGGTGGGTGGGGTAGGACTTCCCATTTCAACGTTTCCAAGTATGTCTTGACCACTTTCACAACATGGGGTCGAGCATTGTCATGCTGCAAAATCACTTTATCATATCTCTCGTTGTATTGCGGTCGTTTGTTTTTCAATGCTCGGCTCAAACGCATCAATTGCGTTCGATACCGATCGTCTGTGATTGTTTCAGTCGGTTTTAACAGTTTATAATACACTACGCCGAGCTCGTCCCACCAAATACAGACGTGGAAGCATGGCCGGGAACTCCCCATGATTTTCTGCGCTTGGGATTATCGTAATGAACCCATTTTTCATCCCCAGTCACAATGCAATGCAGAAATCCCTTCCGTCTTTTCCTTTCAAGCAGCTGTTCACAAGCAAACAAACGCCATTCAACATCTTTCGGCTTCAATTCGTACGGCACCCAATTTCCTTGCTTCTGAATCATTCCCATGGCTTTGAGGCGTTTTGAAATGGCTTGTTGAGTCACTCCCAATGATCGTGCCAATTCTTCTTGATTTTGACACGAGTCTTGCTCAAGTAATGCCTCCAATTCTGCATCTTCGAAAACCTTCTCTCTTCCACCGCTATGCCGGTCTTCGACATCAAAATCACCGTTCTTGAAGCGTTGAAATCACTCACGACACATTCTTTCACTAATAGCGGCTTTACCATAAATATTTGAGAGCATTCGATGAGCCTCAGTCGCAGATTTCTTCATATTGAAGCAAAAAATTAAAACCTCCCGCAAATGACCAAATGAGAATTTGGCTCTGACAAATCGAGAATAACTTTATGATGCAGACACAAATCGACTAATGTTTCTATGGGGTTATGTTGACAGATGCCCAAGTTTATTGTATGACGTCTATGATCTATTTATTTCGACCACCACTTATCGCTAAAGCCATCTATAGGAAAACGGCGGAAGCAAAGTTGTACACTTAATGTTCAATTTATATTAAAATTCAATTTTTAACGTAAAATTTATTTGCTATTCAACAAAATTAGCAGCGTAGGCAGAATACATTAAATATCAGCGTGTGATGCAATGACGTTTACTATGCAAGATGTATACCAGCAGTTAGACATCCGATAAACATTTAGATTGTACTGGGCCTGTTATAGCCGCATTGGCGACACTAAAGTCATAAAACTTCTAATTGTATTATCAATGATTTACGTCGGAAATCTGTTGAAGCTATAATTCAAAAGATTTCAATCTAATGTATTACGCACAGCTGTGCAGAGTTATTAAAATTCATATAACAATGGCTTAATTATTGCTTCAGAATAATTTAAATTGAGTTAAAACCATTTTTCAAGAAGTTATCGATTTCTATTTGAATGATAGATAGTTTTTAAATATAATTTTAATCTAATAACTTACACGCATGTATACATATATGTATAAAGGAAAGACCCCTATCATGAGATATCGAGTTCATTTTGAATAAATGCTAGAAATCTATGGACAGAATTTAAAATAATAATATGTCATTTTGAAGAGAACTTAAGCTTTTAAGATAATGTATGTTACGTAAAATTTAATTCAAATTCTATTTTTTTTTTAAATTAACCCTTACAATACAAAGTACAATACAATTTGGTGCCTCATTCATCCAAATATATGGATCATTCGAATTCGTCCGTTTTTTTCATCTATTTAGAATGATTCAAGAAATCTCGAAAAATTCACCAATATACAACTTTCTAAAATAAATATTGAAATTTTATTTTGGAAAATAATAAAATGTAGTATAATTTATAATTATCGAAAGACTCAAAGAAACTTGTACGAATAGGAATCGCTCACTGGTGATCTGACTTTGTACGGTAAGGGTTAAAGAAATGTAAAAATGAGCAAATTACAAAGTCAAAAAATTGTGCTCCTAATATGAGATGCCCCGAGAAATCAATAATAAAACGTAAATACAGTATTGCAATTAAAAAACTTTATTTAATGTTGCTAAAATACAAACAAACATTGCCAGCGCGAAAAATGAGCATGCAATGGATTGTACTCAGACTTTGTCTTCAGTTGGAATTAAATAGAAATCATAGAAATAGAAACTCGATGTTCATTCCAGTTGTCCTTTTTATTATTGTACAATCACATTTACACTTTAGCAACGGTTTTCACTGTGACATAGGAGCATAGGTTATTTCATATTAGAAATATCCTGAGTATCTCATTACGATTTCCAAGCTTTACGGTATTATAATATCAAATGATCATCAAATCTAACTTCTGTAATTAAGCAATTCAACATATCGCATATTTTTCTATTAGTATGGTCTTATTCTTTATCACTACATAAAGAATTTATTGCCAAATATTTACTTATGAAATGATAAATGAAGGTTAAAGACTCATCTCAATGAAACTTGAAAGTATCCAAATTCTAAAATCTTTTCTGATAATCATTACAGGCATGATTTAATAATGAATTTTTCACTAAATAGTTTTCAATTCAAGAGCAATAAATTCATAGGGGAACCAAATAAATAGCGTTTATTAATTTAGCAGAAATGCCGTTATCTCATATTAGAAGCTTGTCTCATGTAGAGGGCTTTCCTCCATGTGTGCATACATGCATGTGCACTATGTTTATAGCGTGCACTTGTGACGTAACACGCTATCATTAGTAACACGCTTACCAATCATGACGTCATGATTATGTTTATTAGCGCTATCTGCAGCTCTGCGAACAACTTATAGCACTAAATAATGCGAATAGCGTCTTCCCGATATAGCGCACCCTATATATACAGGGACCATTAAGATTGTGACTAAATTAAATGATTATTAGTGTTATTACTTTGCAACAAGTAGGCCGAACAAAACAAATATGAAATGCCATTTTTTAGCAGAAATTCGTCAATTTCGTTTAAATCGTTGTACCAGTTTATGAATGTCAGCATTAACTATCGAAGGAAAAAGGCGTAATGTGCGTAATGTATTAGGTTTTAAAAATAAAAAATTTTTTTGAAAAAATGGTATTTCATTTATTTTGTTCGATCTATTTGTTGCGAAGTAATAAAACCGTAATTTAATTTTTAGACACATTCTAA